CCAGGGAAGTGGTTGAGTCACCATCCCTGGAAGTATTTAAAAGACGTGTAGATGAGGTGCTTAGGGACATGGTTTAGTGGGCATGGTGGTGTTGGGTCGACGGTTGGACTCGATAATCTTGGAGGTCTTTTCCAACCTTAATGATTCTATGAAAAGTGAGTGCTTCTACCCTATTTTAACTATATATTAAAATAGTAAGAAGTAAATCTAATTTCAAGGTGGTTTGTTTGTGGTTTTTTTTTTTTTTTTAAAGAACACAGTATTTGTAAGCAAACAGTCAGCTCAAGTTAGGGAAAAATATTTTAACAATGTTTTGGAAATCCTTAGACAACACGTGAAATATAGCACAGCAGTTTCAAAGTGGGCTTCTATCTGACAATATTTAGCCCCTTGTTTGGAAAAGCAGAAGCAAAATTATTAATCACTGCTGGAGACTGTTCACCCTGAGATTTTAAATGAAACTCTGCAATCAACTCGCACACCGGTACAGAACCAAGGATTTGTTAGCAGCCCAGTTTGACAGCTGACCTGTGACAAACCCAACAGCTTCCCAGCACAGCTTTCAGAATTCTCTGTATACCAACTGGTTCTCAGGCCTGTACGTACCATCGACAATCAGAGTGATATCCGTAAACTGGTCCTGCTCACGTTGTTCATTCAGTCTATCCAAAATAACTTTATAGTGTTCAGGGAATTCCTGGACACATTCCATCGTTTCTTCGGCTTCCATGGCAAAAGGACTAGTCTGCAAGAGATGTGGTATGAGAGTAAGAAGACTGTGCCACTCAGTAAATACTATGCACAGTCAGTGCATATGTAGTTCATGTATACAAACATGAACTGACTAGCACTTTTCAGGGACTACAAAACCAATAGAAACACTAAACTATCTTGGTAACAGGTTTACCTGATTTTAGCTGATAGGTAGGAAACGGTAGGGTTAATGATGTGGAATATTGCCTTATTTACACATGTGAAAAAACAGTCCAAGTGGGTAAGTCTATTTCTTTATTCTACAGATTCAGCAGGGACCCACCTCCCTCAAAGCAAACACTGCAGGGATGTAGCATCTCCACAGCTAACTATTCAACAACACCTCAGCAGCATAATGTCAGAATCTTTATAGAGTTACTTCTCTCAATTCCACCAATCCACTTGGCAGAAGAACAGTTCTTAAAATTTTCATATTTAAGTCACCTTTTGCACCTAGTGAACACAAGATATTTATTTCCTTTAATTAAAGGATGTAATAAAGCAGCACTTTTCAGCTTTTGAGTACATAGCAGTTGCCAGGGATTTAATGTGCTGTTGCACCCAACATTATTCACCTGGCCTACTTACACTTCTCCCCCTGCAAGGTGAAATATTCTTTGCCAACCTTTTGAAAGACACATATGCTTGTAATCTGATGGCCCTTCCTCCCTTACTTATACAATAAATACAGCTGGGGGTGGGAGTTGCAGAGGCTCTCAAACCTGAAGAGGTTTAGCAGAACTCTGTGCCTGTGGACGAGACGCAGATGTTAGTCTGCTGCTTATGCAAAAGAACCTCGGGAGAGAGTCCAAGTGCTTCAATTAAAGCATTTCACAAATTAACTCCAGGCAAAATTACTTCAGATCTGTGCAGCAGCACCCATCTTCAACTCCCACATTCACATGGCTCACACTGAGAATGCCATAGAAAAAGCAAAGACATTTCAAAGTCAGATTAGCACAGAAACATTGTTTCTTTTCACAGCCTAACTCACTTCGAAGAACATGCGGTTTCTGACCAGACTTCAGGGAGTTTGAAAGGAATTTGAGACATATCCTTCACTATACTGTTATACTTAGTATGGACAAAAGGAAGAAAGTCAGGAGAGCAGCTAGTATCAAACCAAAGATTAAACACAGAGATGGAAATTTCTGGTGTGGCAAAGAAGCAGTTTTCTGCAGAGTGCTAGAAAAAACTAGGGAGCAGGTGCTCCCTGACTTCTGGTGCAGATTTTTTTTGCGTGTGATTGGAATCGGAAAGTCCCGAGCCCGAAACTGCTCCTTACATGTACTAACCACATCTGAGCTGATGCCACCACGCTTGCTAACTCCCCTGTGCAGCTGTGTAAATTCTACCTCACTTACAGCAAACATACATACGGGTGTATGGGGTTCCGAAAGAAGTAGAGAGGAGAATTACCTGGTTGCGATAAAAGCCAAGTTATTTTCTTATGACTAACAAACAACAAGTCAAGGAATTTGTGGAATTCCTATTTTCACCACAAAACGCACTCTTTCTTGCACCTCAGAAAAACTGGCCCACAGAGAAGTCATTTTGCCAAGAACATGAATAAAGAAGAGCAGAAGCAACCACTTACGGAAGTCTAGCTCTACCCGCTATCACTGCTTTGCCAAGCAGATGCTGAAATATCTATCAGGGTCTTAAAGGGGACAGAGGAGACCAGCCTGTGAAGGCAAGGGGGAAGGTGAGGTGGAAGGGAGCGGATGCTGCTGCTGCATTCACTTCACCTCATCTGTAATGATGGGTCTAAGACAGACGACCAGCAGCTCCTGCCTTTCTTCCGCCATATGGTATTCCACATAAAGTCTCATGTGGGAAGCTGTCAGCCATTTACTTCACTGTTTAATTCTTCTTGCCCATTTTTGACACATCATAAAAGGACAGATGACTTGCAGTTAACAGCATAATTCCTTAAAAGTTAAAACAAACAAAATTTTGAACCCCAACTCTCATGATTTCCACCTACCCAAATGCAATTTACTACCAAACTGAATGTTTCTAGGGATATCTTACAAAAAACCACTCAGAACAATAGAGCAACCTCCCCCCTATCAAATCTAAGAAATTTTAAAAAGTTTGTCCTTCTCAGAACACTTAAAAAAAAAAAGAATGAGAAAACATACAACTTATGATAGCTAGTTTATTGCCACGAATTAACACAGAACTAGCAAAAAGTGTGAATTTATCACGTATGTAAATGCAGTCGCAGCATTCATTGAGTATTCTCATTTTGAAAACTCAGTGATATTGGGGAAAAAAGCCCAACAGAACAGCATATGTTCAGTAAGAGCATGACTACTTTGGAGGAAGAAGTGAAAGGTACAGTCCTCAGAGAAAAACCAAGAAGCTAAGGAAGGCAGACAGAAGTGATCCAAGCTGCCACTTGTGAGTAGGCTCATCGACGAGTGACAGGAACTGGACTACTTCAGCTGTTTACCTGGATTTTCTTGGAACACGCGGTCAACTACTGACTTAACCTTATCAGCTTGTAACACTGGATGCGTCTTGCGTGATACACGTACGATTTGCAGATCGGTTTTTATAGATCTGCCTCGATTAAGCTGTCTTATTATTACCCTCCTCCTGGGCTACAGCGGGAACACCTTGCATTTTAGGCACCAGGCATTTGTTTCCTTTGCCTGCGTGGATCGTCCCCGAATGCAGGCAGGCAGAGCGGTGCTACGGCAATTCAGATGACCCGGGGGAGCAGGCTGAGCACTGGCCAAAGCACCGCCATCTTGCTGCAGCCACCTCAGGAAAGGGGAATCCGAGGGGTGTCTGGTGCACAACAGCAGCGGTCGCTTCCAGGTAATACAGAAGGGCAGAGCGGTGCTACGGCAATTCAGATGACCCGGGGGAGCAGGCTGAGCACTGGCCAAAGCACCGCCATCTTGCTGCAGCCACCTCAGGAAAGGGGAATCCGAGGGGTGTCTGGTGCACAACAGCAGCGGTCGCTTCCAGGTAATACAGAAGCGAGAACTTCCTGTGCGCTTTGCTGCGCATTTTTCCTCAAAAACAACAACGGCGGAGCAAGGGCG